GGCATTCCTCTGGTCTTCTAAATCTCCTTTCAAACTCAACATTCAAATAAAGGTTAGTTAAATGCAATGCGATTTAGCGATACTTCCAAATATTGTAAAATACTTCTCTAGTAAATCGAAGTGCTCGTGTGTGTGTAAATCGTGATGATATAAACAAGTCCTAATAAACTTCACAGCACATGATTACATTTTGCTCTGCTTTTTTTAATTTACCGTGTTTTCAGTATATTCTTAGGAAGAAAAAATTACCTTTTTTGGGAAATTTCTATTGGACTGAATTTCACTACTTAACCAGAAATGATGAAAAATCTGACTTTTAACCTTGAGAATGGGGGGTCGACTTATACACGAGTTCGACTTATACACGAGTAAATACGGTTTCCATGACTGGGTTCTCCAGCCTAACTTTCCTAATATATTCATTAGAGGTAAAGCTAAGAGCTCTGTTTTTGGTAGCAAGCCATTGGCATTCATTTCGTTAGCTCTACGTCTTGACTTTAGCATCATTCCCAGATTAGATTCCGAATTATCTCGTAAAAGCTTTCTAGTTCCTGGTGTTTGATTCCATTCGGGCTAGAGATTGCACCTGTTTCACTGTGCCAATAAGGTGTATTAGCATGAAGTACTTATTGTTTGTTGGCAATTTCAAGTTAAACATGTTACGCCTTAGAGAGGCATCCAGGAGAGGCCCTAGAGGGGCGATTTATCATATGTATTGTCTTTTTTGTACCCTAGAGGGGTATACTATGTTGACTATGTGCAAACGCTCTAGAGGGGTGCGTCCACTAGAATACCATGGTTGTTATTTTTGTATTGTGATACGCAAGAAGTGTATTGCCTCGAGGGCAAAGGTTTTCCTTACTGAGAACAGTGAGTTAAATGGAAATTCAGCATTGTGCGTATTGTGCCTGTCTCATTGATATGTTTTTAGATTTTCTTGATACTTTTCCTTTTTCTTATCCTTAGATATCTTCACTTCCATTTTCTGGTTTTCAGAGACCTAAAGTTCCATAAGAGTGGATCAGCTAATGGAGAATCTCAAATCTACTGTGCTTGCTACCAAAGCGTCTGGGACATCCGAAA